TAGGCTAAAAGTCAACCCTCTTAAGGCGAACTGATAACTTACGCAGTAGATTTTTGTTATTCATTATACACAGTAGCCTAGTCAAATTTTGAAAATATGAATTAAGTTACTGATTAGCCTAGTTGCGAAATTTTCTCCCAATGTGTTTTTGTACCCAATAAACTCGCGATGCTGAGTGAAGGACCTGCACTCAAGCAAACGAGCAACAAGCAAAGAACCACTGTACCCTTGTAGCCTACGTAATTTTAACTGATACGGTATAGAAAATGTACAGATATAAAAACCACTTTAATTCTAACATACTTGTTTACGGGCTATTCATGCCCGTGCCACTTCTTGGGTGGCTTAATCTTTATCAATCGATCAACATACTTTTATAACACTTTATTAGAGGGTAACAATAGAGGCGCTTCCACCAGGACTAGGTAGGTAGGATCCATATAAGTAGCCTGGAGTTCTTCCAGACGCCAGAGGGGGGCTATGTAGAGGATAGAGGAGCGTGCCGTCGGAGCATAGCGAGGCTAGTCCTCCTCTCCTACAGGGAACAAAGGGATACTTGTGCCAGGCAGACAGCGTGCTCCTTCTTCCGCAGCTCTCGCGCCCTCTAAGGCGCGCTCGCTCACTTCCCGCGCGATTCCTTTGACTATCCTAGCTATACGAGTCCGCTCAGAGGTCGTGCGTCTCACTACACTTCTTTTATTCACAAGATTGTCGTTTGATTACAGGTGTAAGGCGCCTCTATACTGTTATTGAAATGCAGAATTACACTTGCTCTACTGTCTCGTCAATTCAAAGATTTCAACTGGTTATATTTGGTTAAAATAGCAGGACCCCCCCAGTGCTCAAGTTATTTTTCCTATTTTTACACAGGCTAACTAAACTACACGAAATTTGCTCTTGCGCTAGATTTCCTTAGTGGTGTTCAACAATGTACCCCACCTAGGTAAGCATACCCTAGTATGCTGGTATACTCGAAGTCTGAAAACGTCAATTTACCTGCTCAGATCGTATTATAACGCGCAAAAACAAACGGAAACATTCCAAATCAGAGTCGCCATCCTGTGTTCCATCCCTCCACCACACAAACACTTGGTTCGTGCCCTTTGTAGTTCAAGATCAACCACACACCCTGGGTTTATGGCCAAACTATATGGGGTCTCCCGCCTCCCCTAGCGAGCGCCCAAGCTGGAAGCTTCATACTATCAGTCCATCGCTTCCACTGCATCAACCACTATACGAATCACTCAAAGCTTCACCAAAAAAAACCCTGTTGCTTCAGCATTCAGTCTAACCAAACGAGGTAATGAGAGCCTGTATCACGCGGAAATGTTGGCAGCATGGTCAATGGGGCGTAGCCAATGGGGAGGCCTAAAGATACACAATCGTAAAACACGGCCCGTCCACACTCTGGGGGGAGGTGGGGGGTCGGAAACTGAGGGTACCGCAAAAGGGGGGCATAGATGCCCTGTACATTATCGCCATACTATGGGTATGTTGTGCTCTCTACGGAGTGCTGCTTCGACTCGTAACGACAACCAACACACACACACACACACACACACACACACACACACACACACACACACACACACACACACACACACACACATAATATGTTTCACGGATTATCAAACAGTAAATACCAATTGACACAAAAAATGAGGGATGTTATTTCTGCATCAGTGTTTTGAAACAAAAAAATCCTTGATAACAATTGCATATCGTTCCCAGTCCGACGATCAATGAAATCATTACTTTGGATATTATATATTACAATGTAAAAATAACCAAAAGGCTAAAAGCTATTTTACGTCTTGCAAAAAAATTCAAATACAAAATACATTTTTATTCAATGTTGCAAATAATTTTTCTGACAATGACAATGCATTAAATAATTAACCATTAGCAGCAGCCTACTCAATAAAATCAGAGTTTACATCGTGGAAAACGGGCCAAATTTTCCCCTAAAAGAAATTACATCTTGCATTATCCACGAAAATCCACGTAAGTTTATATAGTACGTTTATTGAGACAAAATACATATCAAAAGGAAAGAGTAGCTTAGGCTATTTCTACTTTCCTCCTACACACTGTTAACACAATAGTGCAACCCAGAAAGACTTGTAGCAAAGTGTAGCACCACAACACTCTCCTTGTGCATGTAACACCATAACGATTCCCTCTACATGTGTGTGTAACATTTCAACGCTGCCCCCGTACATGTGAAAACACCTCAACGCTGGCCCGTACATGTGAAAACACCTCAAAGCTGCCCCCGTACATGTGAAAACACCTTAACGCTGCCCCGTACATGTGAAAACACCTCAACGCTGGCCCCGTACATGTGAAAACACCTCAACGCTGCCCCGTACATGTGAAAACATCTCAACGCTGCCCCGTACATGTGAAAACACCTCAACGCTGCCCCGTACATGTGAAAACATCTCAACGCTGGCCCCGTACATGTGAAAACATCTCAACGCTGCCCCCGTACATGTGAAAACACCTCAACGCTGCCCCCGTACATGTGAAAACACCTCAACGCTGGCCCCGTACATGTGAAAACACCTCAACGCTGGCCCCGTACATGTGAAAACACCTCAACGCTGGCCACGTACATGTGAAAACACCTCAACGCTGCCCCCGTACATGTGAAAACCTCAACGCTGCCCCCGTACATGTGAAAACATCTCAACGCTGCCCCCGTACATGTGAAAACACCTCAACGCTGGCCCCGTACATGTGAAAACACCTCAACGCTGGCCCCGTACATGTGAAAACACCTCAACGCTGCCCCCGTACATGTGAAAACACCTCAACGCTGCCCCCGTACATGTGAAAACACCTCAACGCTGCCCCCGTACATGTGAAAACACCTCAACGCTGGCCCCGTACATGTGAAAACATCTCAACGCTGCCCCCGTACATGTGAAAACACCTCAACGCTGGCCCCGTACATGTGAAAACACCTCAACGCTGGCCCCGTACATGTGAAAACACCTCAACGCTGGCCCGTACATGTGAAAACACCTCAACGCTGCCCCGTACATGTGAAAACACCTCAACGCTGCCCCGTACATGTGAAAACACCTCAACGCTGCCCCCGTACATGTGAAAACACCTCAACGCTGCCCCCGTACATGTGAAAACACCTCAACGCTGGCCCGTACATGTGAAAACACCTCAACCCTGGCCCGTACATGTGAAAACATTTCAACGCTGCCCCCGTACATGTGAAAACACCTCAACGCTGCCCCCGTACATGTGAAAACACCTCAACGCTGCCCCGTACATGTGAAAACACCTCAACGCTGCCCCGTACATGTGAAAACACCTCAACGCTGCCCCCGTACATGTGAAATATACCTCAACGCTGCCCCCGTACATGTGAAAACACCTCAACGCTGGCCCGTACATGTGAAAACATCTCAACGCTGCCCCCGTACATGTGAAAACACCTCAACGCTGGCCCCGTACATGTGAAAACATCTCAACGCTGCCCCCGTACATGTGAAAACACCTCAACGCTGCCCCCGTACATGTGAAAACACCTCAACGCTGCCCCCGTACATGTGAAAACACCTCAACGCTGCCCCCGTACATGTGAAAACACCTCAACGCTGCCCCCGTACATGTGAAAACATCTCAACGCTGCCCCCGTACATGTGAAAACACCTTAACGCTGGCCCCGTACATGTGAAAACACCTCAACGCTGCCCCCGTACATGTGAAAACACCTCAACGCTGCCCCGTACATGTGAAAACACCTCAACGCTGCCCCCGTACATGTGAAAACACCTCAACGCTGCCCCCGTACATGTGAAAACACCTCAACGCTGCCCCCGTACATGTGAAAACAACTCAACGCTGCCCCGTACATGTGAAAACACCTCAACGCTGCCCCCGTACATGTGAAAACACCTCAACGCTGCCCCCGTACATATGAAAACACCTCAACGCTGCCCCCGTACATGTGAAAACACCTCAACGCTGCCCCCGTACATGTGAAAACACCTCAAAGCTGCCCCTATACATATGTAAACACCTCAAAGCTTTGCAACATTCATCTCACACCTTCATTGACAATAACAATGTGCTGCTAGATGTATTGATATCGCCTTAGTGCAGCTGCAAATCGCAAAAACAAATCAATCCTGTGTGTACAAGTGCATCGAGGAACAGGTGTTGCAAAAAACACAATATGAAAACACACACGAGCGCTAGATAAACATCGCCGCGCAGGTGTATTTCGGCACAACACCGCGCAGGTGCTCAACTTGTGTCCGCGCAACACCGCGCAGGTGCTTTGTTTAAGACGGTATAGATAATTTTTGTTTGGTATACAAGATGCAATAGGTCGGTTCTTTTAAGCTCGTCTATATCTAGTTTAATACCTGGCTCGTTGTTCCAACTTTAATACCTGGCTCGCTGTTCCAACTTTAATACCTGGCTCGCTGTTCCAATTTAATACCTGGCTCGCTGTTCCAACTTAATACCTGGCTCGCTGTTCCAATTTAATACCTGGCTCGCTGTTCCAACTTTAATACCTGGCTCGCTGTTCCAATTTAATACCTGGCTCGCTGTTCCAACTTATTAATACCTGGCTCGCTGTTCCAATTTAATACCTGGCTCGCTGTTCCAATTTAATACCTGGCTCGCTGTTCCAACTTTAATACCTGGCTCGCTGTTCCAACTTTAATACCTGGCTCGCTGTTCCAACTTTAATACCTGGCTCGCTGTTCCAAAGTTTATTTCGATCAAAGTATACTTAAAAATGCCTAAATTTCACCAACCAAAAATATACATTTGAAAAAAAGGTTAATGATTGCATAATAATACAAATATAATGTGTCCAGTTAAGATTACTGATGATAACAAGAGTTCAAGATCCCTGATAAAACTCTTAAATTAAGTGATAAAAGTGTTAAAACGCTCCCGTTTAAAGAAGTAATCTAAAGATATCTGTCTTAAAGTCTACTGATATCATTTAAAAGACTTACCATATTTAGTACGTGTTGGTCTTATCTGGAGTCTTCAGTGATAAAGTGGCTGCTGTAATCCGCTGTCCGGTTTAACGCTACCCGGAGGTGTCACACCTTGGCTCACCATCCGGCCATGAGACAATCTCTCGCTAGCACCAGTCTCTCAAAAAATAAAATCACTTAAGTGAGATGAAGAGATTCGGCTTTTTTCTTTTTCTTCCGCGATCTGCCGAAGTCAAGCGGCAGGTGTATGGCAACTTGAGGTCTTAACTAAGACTCGTCACACTTGATATATATGTATATATATACTTTTTTAATTTGGATGAGCTTTCGGAGAGAAAACTGCGTTCACAAACAAAATCGATTAACACTTTAATTAATAGAATTTACAGCAAAAAATTTAATAATTTCACTTTCTTTTCTTTCTTGATTTTTAATTTCTGAACTTTTGGACCGCTGCGATGGTCTTTGCTGACGTCTTCACTATTTCACACCAAGGTGGTCACCATTCGACAGGATAACAAGCTCCAACCATCCAAAAAGGAATGAAAAAAATGTGCTAGCAAAGCTGACGGACCCAAGCGCAGCACGTCCGTAGCCCTCGCCAGTCGTGACCGAACTGAGGCAGGGGAGCGTCTCGAGTCGTGTGCGGAGTCGCCTGCGCTGACTGGCCTGCGCGGTTGCCGACTCTTCGCTTCCCTCCAACACACACACACCTTCTTCATTAACTATCAGCCATCATGACACATTTACACTCTTCATTTCTTGGCCGCTCTCAAGAACAAACCCCGGCCCGTCGGGTCGCAAAGTGGCGAGACGGTCTTGGAATTCCGCCAAACGTGGAGAAGAAGAGATGACTTAAAACGTACGCAGAAGAAGATGTTGATAACTTACAAGAAGTTACTTGGTCATCAGGGCCCGAACACGGCCAAGCAAGTCACTAAGTTCGTGGAAGACAGTCGGTTGTCGGGAGTCGCTAGTGGTGCAATTTCTCGGCCAACTTGGCCCTTACCTCCCCGCCACACTCCACCACACCAAGCGCAGCGGCCAATGTTGGCGGTGGCGCGGCGCTGCCTCTGTAGATTGATCAGCCTTGCAAGAGGCTACCTACCTGCGTAAAGATTAAGGGGGATCTTGTATATATATATATATAACAACATAAAGCATGTTCTTTGTACTGTAAAAGGTACATGCAATATTTTTCGAGCAGTAGACGAAGATTCTTCATATATGTAAATAGAAATCTGAGATGTTTATCATGCATCTCCCAGCGTCTGCCGTTAGGCGGCGGGTGAGCCTATAGGCTACTGACTGGCAACATTCTAGGTCACTAATGCCGTTAACTGACTGGTCGGTGTAGGTATTTTCCATATTATTATGACGCGATTATTTTCCACTCATGTCGATGGAGCTTATCTAAGTTGAATGTAATTTCCATAGCTATCTGTCAGACTGTAATAAAGGTACTGTATCTATGGGGTACAGTATTGTATCTATGGGGTAGAGTGCTGTATCTATGGGTTTTGTTGTTAGAATAGGCTAGGGGTTATCTTGAGATGATTTCGGGGCTTTTTAGTGTCCCCGCGGCCCGGTCCTCGACCAGGCCTCCACCCCCAGGAAGCAGCCCGTGACAGCTGACTAACACCCAAGTACCTATATTACTGCTAGGTAACAGGGGGCGTAGGGTGAAAGAAACTCTGCCCATTGTTTCTCGCCGGCGCCCGGGATCGAACCCGGGACCACAGGATCACAAGTCCAGCGTGCTGTCCGCTCGGCCAACCGGCTCAGTAGGTCATGACTGCTTCCAGGTCCGTCCCCCCCCCTTTTTCAAATTCAGGAAGAAGTTTTCTTTCAATTGCATACCGTTAAATGGCTCCCTCCATAATTCTAAATACCTTGTATTTATCCGAGTTGAATTCGAAGAGCCATTTTTACAAGCATCACTCTAGCTTGATTGATGATTGATAAAGATTAAGCCACCCCAAGAGGTGGCACGGGCATGAATAGCCCGTAACTGTAGCTTGATCTTCCAACATCCTTTTTATAATCCCAATATCTTTTGACACTCTTCCCCAGACAGTGGTATAGGGGAGAAGGTATTAGCTCTCTCATTTAGGTTAATTACAGCCACCAGGGATAGCATAGGTGCTGATACTTCCCAATCGACTAGTACACAGGATCTCAATCCCTTTGGCTTCCGTCACATCTACACTTGAAGCTGTGTAGTGGAGTTTGACCTCCACCACATCTCTAATTATGAATGTATTCTATTTATTCACTAATATTTGTAATATAGCTGTGGTACAAGGGATTCTAAATTCATCTTTGTTCAGATGATTGAAGACCGTTGTTACCTTGCATATGCCACTGATGCTATCGAGTTGTTGTGTGCCGCAGGAGACGGATTGTGCATGTTATGTCAATTCCAACTGTCCTTTATCTCTCTTATCAGAGTGTTTACCTCGATTGGTTGATGAAGATGAACATAAGAACTTAAAAATAAAAGTAACTGCAGAAGGCCTATTGGCCCATACGAAGCACCTCCTATTTATAACCACCCAATCCCATTCATATACATGTCCAACCCACGCTTGAAACAATCAAGGGCCCCCACCTCCACCACGTTACGCGGTAATTGGTTCCTTAAATGAACAACCCTGTTACCGAACCAGTATTTACCCACTTCTTTCCTAAATCTAAACTTATCCAATTTATACCCATTGTTTCGTGTTCTGTGTTGTGTCGATTTCATGTCACTCCTAACTCTTCGCCTTTCCAGTGAATGCAATTTAAGCTTTGTTAATCTTTCTTCATATGGCAGGTTTCTAATTTGGGGGATTAACTTTGTTATCCTACGCTGGACACGTTGTTGTTATATATTCAGCTACTCGGAACAAGTTTCAAGTAGCACGGGCTATGGTGACCCCGTAACTTACCTGGCACAGGAGCGGGGCAAGTAACCCCGGGCTATGGCGAGCCCGTAGTGGAGTTACCTGGCACAGGAGCGGTGGGTCTTAATTAGCATCTCTAAGCACCAGCGTATGTACCAACTTGAGGGTTACCTTGAGATGGTTTCGGGGCTTAGCGACCCCGCGGCCCGATCCTCGACCAGGCCTCCTGGTTGCCGGACTGGTCAACCAAGCTGTTGGACGCGGCTGCTCGCAGCCTGACGTATGAGTCACAGCCTGGTTGATCAGGTATCCTTTGGAGTTGCTTAGCAAGTTCTCTCTTGATCACCGTGTTCAAGCCTACAAACATATGATTATGCCTAAACGGTGGGGAGGGGGAGGGGGAGGGGTAGGGGGAGGGGGAGGGGGAGGGGGGTGAGTGCCTCCAGAGATACAAAGCTAGTGTTCTCAACTCATTGGACGAGGCACACTAACCCATGACCCTAAATGGAGCAAGGTGATTAGGGAGTTTGAAAGGGATAACACAAGACATGATCACCACATACAAAATTCTCAGGGGAATTGACATGGTTAGACAAGGATGGATTATTTAACACGGGTGGTACACGCACGAGGGGACACAGGTGGAAGCTGAGTACCCAGATGAGCCACAGAGACATGAGAAAGAACTTTTTCAGTGTCAGAGTAGTTAGTAAATGGAATACATTAGGCAGTGATGTGGTGGAGGCTGACTCCATACACAGTTTCAAGTGTAGATATGATAGAGCCCAATAGGCTCAGGAATCTGTACACCAGTTGATTGACGGTTGAGAGGCGGGACCAAAGAGCCAGAGCTCAACCTCCCGCAAGCACAACTAGGTGAGTACATGTACTGGTGACCAATGGCCACAGTAACCACGTGATCAGTACCACTTCAAGACGACACCAGGACCGCTGGTACAATCCTGAACCGAGAACAGAAACCACATTAACACCTCCAATAAAATTATATCACAAATCCACCATGCACAATGAATATAAGAAAGAGGAAAGAATACGGAAAGAAAATATACGTATAAAGAGTAAAAAGCCCCCCCCCCCCCAACCCAAACTTAGACATCTTCAGAAATTATAAAACAAAGAAGACCAATGACCTCGATAAAAAAAAACAGCCTGAAGCCGACAGAGAATCCTTTACAGGAATCAGACGTGGTACACCTGTACACCTGCCCCCACGAAGGCTGTCACCTGTATCTGTTTGATCTGTCATCTTCAGTCAGATGCTCCCAAAACATCACATGAGGCAAGCCCATAATATTACCTTAACAAGAGAAACGCCGAAATAACTACATATTGAACAAAACCCAAGAATATATGTAATATATATATAATATATATATAATATATAATGGGATACCACCTCTGGTGCAAGTGTAGGGGCCCGTAGCCTCGGAGAAGAAAATAATGAGTACTTGGAGAAGACCTTGTGGATCCTCAATGAACACTTTGATATTTTCTTCTACCACCCCTATTCTTTTAGTGTGTGTGTATATATTATTTATTTACCTTTATTTTAAGATTTCATTACACAAAAAGGGTTACAACATTGATTACATGCAAGGTACAAGACTACTTATCACAAGTTGTAGAGCTCTTCCAGCTCCTCAGATGGCGGGCAGGAACCATGGATGCAGTGAGCATTTCCTCTCTGGATCGCCACACTAAGGCGCTGAAAGAGAAAACTGGCGGCTCTAGGGTCTCTAGTTGTTTCAATTAACTTGGACCCCGGCTCCTTCAAAAAACTTGCAGCACTAATTTTCTCCAGGCACCAAGTGTCTCTGAGGCAATGGGGACAAAATTGTAGTGGTGATCACTCCGTATTTACGTGACTTGGCTGCTTCCCGGTGATTGGCAGCACCTCCTGCCTGTGCAGCACTGAAGTTAACATAGGTGTTGGCTAAGACTGAAACGCAAATGTAGTCCCACACCAACTGTCTACCATTCTTCCAGGGGTTCACCGTGATCCCGTCTGGGCGACCGACAGGCTCATCAGAGTTGCGGGGCATTAGGTAACGGAGCTCTCTCTCTGCTGGACAACCGGCCGTGGTAAGGCTTCTCTTAATAATGTCGTTAACCTCGCCGTGTCTTGCATGCCATCCTCCTGTTCTTTGGCAGAGAAGGCCATGCCGTCCGTACCTGTCGGCCTCTGCTTCGCCGCAAATACACCTGTATTCGGTGTGGATTGGGGCAGCGAGGCGGAGAGCCACAACAATTCGGAGGGCCTGCGGTGTGAGACGGGTGCCGGTTGCTGACATTGGGGTTGCTAATAGGGAGTCTCCTGCATGGGGAGCTGCTACAGCTCTAAGTCGGGCAGTGTCATGTGGTGTTGTCGCAGCTTCTAGCAAAGTCGCAGCTTCTTGGTCGGCAATGGGGCGATCCCAGCTAGATTGCTTATGGGCTTCAGAAGGCGGTGGTTGGGGTGCTGGTCCTGCGAGAGAGACCCATTTGGTTGTGCAGTCTGTGAAGCTGGGATCATGTACCCCAGCCTGTTGAACTAGGTGCTCAGGTAGGATTTCCTTCACCAAGTTGTCAGACCCCACTGAAGAGGACAGAAACGCTGGTACCTCAATTTGTGTTGCTGTGCGCACGCCAAGGCCCCCGAGTCTGACAGGAAGGGAGGCCTGTTTCCACTGTGAGTCGCTGAGAGAAAGGTTGAGGGTTTTTTCCTAGCATAGATTTCAGCAAGCTGTCATACTCTTCTAATTTAATATGATTGAAAAACTCCTTCTGAAGATGTATTAATATACGAAAGTACTTAAGGAAATTCCTGTTTCAATTTTCCTCCGTGGTCTGACAC